TATTATTTTACTACTCATTTTTTAATAATATCTTTTTGTAGGTTTGATATTTAAATTTTTTTTATATGTGAGAGGTGACAAAAAAAGATTTTATTGATAAAAAAAGAACTTAAAAGATATATAATTCAATATTTCTTAATTAATTTGTTCAATTTATTGTTTCGCATAATAAAATAAAAAATAATAGTAAAACTCCCCACGGCGATAAACCTCGAAGTCCTTCTTGAAAATAAAACCGTCAACGCGTTCGCTTTGTTACACTCGTCGAATGTATAAAATGCATTACGGATCATAAAGCGATCAGAAGGCGAGAGCATAAAAATGAGTCTCTTCGAAATCCCGGAATATTAAGTTTACACAGGATATCTTAAGCCAACCGCAAGAACATTTTACGAATAGATTCCTTCAGGGATTTGATATTGATTTTCGCTGAACAAAAAACGTCGAAAGATGTAATGTTCACACTTTTTTTCTATTCATTTCCATTGCATGCACATAATATTAAATCAAATCTTTTATTTGCATCGGCTGAATACTGCATATTAAAGAAACGAGAAACGGCACTCTAAAAATATTTTTTATTAGCATTGGTATAATAATAATTTTTAATAATTTTATATAATATCCGTTAAATAAGTAATCGTTACTTCGCGGCTTTGTGGCAACTAGTTATACCGATACGTTCAATCAAGATACCCATATAATATCGTAATAAACACGATATTTGAATATTTTGCAATTACGAACTTCTGCTAATCTCTAAAATCTCAAATATAACTATGAGACATTTATATTTAATATATTAAAATAGCATGAGAGCGTGGCAAAATTTCATCGTTGATAAATACTTCGGGCTCGATTATTATCTTTAACGAAATTACGAGATTAATCAAAGTGAAATCTCCCTGAGCCGTAGCGCTGACACCGGCGCAAAGTCGACCCTTAATTTACCAGCATATAATTCCAAGCTGGCAGGTGACCCTCGAGGACCGTCTTGGCGTTAACGAACCGCTCTCGTCTGTGGGATCGAGAGTGGCGAAAAGCCTCGAGGGTGCTCGTATTTTAGGAACCAATCGAGTGTTGCCAGGGTGCGGCTAAGAAGCGAATGTTCTCTCGCCGGCGCCGTTGGGACGATGCTGCCGCACTCGGTGCAAAAGGGGAGAGAGACAGGGATGTGGGGTGGTGAGGGGTGGGGGCTTCATCGATTTCTTACCCCGTGGCCCAGTAACGCGTTTCGTGGGACCATCCGTGTACCGTCATTGGGTGTAGCTACCCCCCCCGATGAGAGAAAGAGAGAGAAAGAGAGAGAGAGAGAGGGTCTTGATGCACCGCAGGATGCAAGCTCGAGAAAATCGCCGATCGTCTCTCTTCGATCGTTCGCGTCGAGTTTTTGCGCGATGGCGACGCTTAATCCCTCTCGTTAGCACGCGGGATTTTGTCGTTTTAGCGCGACTCCGAGAGGCAAATCTTTTGCGATATTAATTGGAAAACTTTACGTCATTATATTGTCGTAAATATAGGTTTCAAATAGGCGAGCGTACTTTCTAATAACAAAATCCTAATCAATTTAATTACAATATACGTACGCGTTATTGTGCATGATGGTTATTTAATAAGATAATAACTATTATAAAACTAGAAAAAATTGATATTTATTTAACAGCCATTGTGTTACTGGCTTAAAGCGACATTTATGTTGCTTTAATGTTGCATTAAGTTTCATTAATACCTACACGTAAATAATTCAATAATTAATTCGAATGTCCATTAGCGTTAAGCTCCTCGCCGGTGATTAATTTATTAATTTGCGTGCACGTTCACAACGACATTTTACATATTTTTACCATAATACAGATTATTTCCATTATTAAAAATTAAAAGTATTTCAAACCAAAATTTTCTTATTTATGATTAAAGATCGTTATCATATTATGTGTAATGATTATAAATTTCCAGAATACAGCTTACTAATTGTAATTATTTATTTCTTGGTAAAAAATAATGTTCCTTTAAAAGAAACATATTGAATATTGGAATTCGGTATTTGATGCATGTCGGCATGTGAAACTTGGTCGTCGAACAAAACAAAAAATGAAGACAGAGCAGGTTGAGCAAAACCAGAAACTTTCCAAGAACAGTGACAGTTACATGTGTTTAATTTCAGAATGTGTATCGTCGTCGCTTTCTAAGGATGATAAATTCCCGTAACTATGGCAAAACTTATCCGCCTGCGAAAAATGCGCGATCCATCTCGATTATGGTAATCTAGTATCGCATTACCGCTCGCGGTATACGATTCGCGTTTAGTGCTAAACGCGAACGCACATCGTGCGCATCGTGTAAAGTTGATGCAATCTATTAAAAGGAAAGCTGACGTTCCCCCGTTAACAATGATGTACAACCGGGGCGGTAACATTTACGATAAGCACAATGATGAATTATTATTACGTAAATTTCGCCTATCACGATCCTCCTCGTGTATTCGCGTGTGCATCACGCGCGCATCCGGGGGGGGAGGGGGTACGTAACTTCATCCCAGTTACGTTGGAAGCTGCGAGCTTACGAATCAATCATGTCACCCGACCGCGTTATCGCGCGCGATCTTCATAAAAATGAGCCGTAGTTATTTCCCCGAAGTTATTAGCGATAGCCAATGATAAATTTCTTATTCTTTAACGGCGAGACGGTTTAATAACCGGTTGTCCAGAGTTTAATGGCAATAATCCCGTGTCGTAACAGATTTTCCAGAGTGCCGGATTGGTTCGCGTGCAGTTGTTTAATTACTCATATTGATGGCGCGCCATGGGCTGCGGCCTCCTCCGCGTCTCGCAGAGAGTTTGTTTAGATTAACGTAAGCCCCGGAATTACATTTTGCGATAATATCTAAATCGCATTGATGTAATTTGCAATAACATTTCTTGACTGCTCTCTATATTTGCGCGATTAAGCGAACTAAAATATTTATTCGGCAAACAAGAGGCTTGATCGATCACGCATTTGCACCATAATCGTTCCGTTAATTGGTTTTAAACGTATTCGTACCAATATTGAACAGTTAAATAGCCTCGCAACAAATAATAGTGAAAATTTATAATTTAAATGGATAATAATTTATTATGTTTAAATTATAAATTTATTTTATAAACAATGAACATTTTCTATTTATTACGAAACAATTGTCGGGCGATATTAATTTTCGCTGATAGCGAGAAGTCCATTACAGTCGCAATTTGAACGACGTGAAAAACAAGGTTTTTTTAATGATCGTGAATTGTAAATTAACTCCCTTTTGCGAAATAACTAGAAGCTTAATTTCAAGATTAAGAACATAATCATGGTAAGAGATCCTCTCGAATATAATTAACTCCCAATTAAATTAAACAATGGTCATGCACTCGCAATGTTAAGGTCCATACGTGCTCTCCGTTTCTAAACTACCTCGCACTTAGCGGAGTGGCGAGAAACGAGAAAGGACGGGAATGCCCGCGCTCGAATTAACTTAATCAACCGAGTATTTGCCGAGCAAAGGAAACGGCCGTGGGGGTGGATTCAAGCAGGACGGAGAAATCCTTGGCAGGATGACTCCCGGGGCAAATTGGCCGCGTGGCGCGGCGTATCGTCGGCGTTGAACGGACACGGGAATACATTTTAATGGATTTTCTCTCTTGTTAATACGCTCGGTGTACCCGCGCGCGTTTCGCTACATAACAACGTGCGATTTCACAAAATAAATACACGCTCGATTTGCGCTGCGTGCTTTTAAAACGGCTGTCGCAGCTGTGGGGGACAAGAGTGAACGACGAGGCGCGAACTCGGAACATCCGCTGGATATAAAGCCGCGGCCGGCGCTCATTGATTTAATTCGGCGATTAATTAAAACAAATTCGTCGCCGGTTATACGGGGCGTAGTCTGAACTTTTAATAACACGGCGGTGTAATTAATCGTACGTTTAAATCCCTTTATAATGGACCGCTCGCGGCGCACCGGCCGAGCCGATAAAATGACAAACATATTCCTTGTGCATCATGCCGCGGATTATGCAAAATTTATGCGGAACTGATCGATGTTTACCGTTCTCCTTACCGCCATAAAATGCGGTTAAGGGCTTAATGTACCAATCCAGGAAAAAGCTTCCCTCCGCAATTATACATTTTTCTTCTAACGGGCAACCTAGTTCCATCAATAAATGTCTACTTCTGGAATGAAGTGCCGTTATCTGAAACTACTTAACCTTTTTGCTCGCGGCGACCGGTAATTGCCCATCTTAAATTTCCGTAGTGGGGCGAAAAAATGATTAACGGTCCGGGATTCTTTATCATCCAAGTTTCCGTACTTTAGTGCAAAGTGCATTAAGACCAAGCCGCGGGAATATATACCGCGAGAAATAAAGTTAGGGTAGCGTGCCTCCATCCCTAGGAAATTCTTTTTTATACATGGTTTGGTATAATAATTTCTTTTCAATATTAGTGACACGTTCGATGAACGTGTATGTACGTTTAATCAAACGTCCAATTATTGTAATTATTTATGATATTATGTAAGATATTGCGTAAGATATTCTTGAGATACTTTGAGTGCCATATCACTCATTTTGGGTGACGCGTAAATTTCCTATCACCTATTTGTGAATGACGGTCTTATTTATTCAATTAAGAGTAATTTTAATAAATATTAAAAAAAATTAAAGAAATAATATAGATTTTATTAAGACATTAAGTATACCTAAAGAACTTATTAATTATTATTCGCGAGTTGAAAATTGTCCCGCATACAATCGCCAAACAAAAAAGAATATGTGTTTTAATATAATTTTTTCAAGTACGACTTGTTTGTATCCAACTTTTAAAATTAACAATTCAATATCTCTGATGATTGATGTAATGTTAGATAGGTATACACTTACTCCGTTTCTGTTCCCTTCTAATGCGTTTCTAACGCCCGATTTTCTATTTAAAATTGATCTAATGACTAATGATATAAATTCTTTTGAATGTTACAGTAACAAAATTCATTCGCATCGGGATAGCTGACAAGAACGATAATCCCCCATATTTCGACAAGGGCCTCTACGAGGCTGAGGTAGATGAAAATGAGGACATTCAGCACACGGTGCTCACCGTCACCGCCAAAGATCACGACGAGTGTAAGTACTGGCCTTTTTAACAATATTATCTCATTAATTATCCGTATATATCGTTTCCATTCTCTCGTATTGCAGACTATGCTGAAATTATTCATGTCCATGTATATTTTAAATATTTGTAACTATGTTATAACGACGCTCGTCATGCCCGTATGTGTATCTTGGAAATATTTGAGCAGCTAATTGCAAATATATGTAGTGTTAATTCTAACATGTGAGATAATTAAGGAGATATGGAGAGGGAAGTTTCGTACCGCGGTCTCATTTGTCTCACCGGGATGACAAGTCTAACATGATGAAATAGAAATGCTCGCGAATACAATTGCAAACGTCATTCTCAACGATGATATTTCACGCGTAAAAGGATTGCCATTTCCAAGAAAATTCAAATCATTCTATTATCTCTAACTCACAATGTACCGAAATTAATATAATTATATAGATTGTATATATACCATAGAAATGTTTGCCTCCACAGTGAGTGCATTTAAATTCGGTAGTAAAACGCGAATTGTAGTTACGCGCAATACGTTTCGAACATAAATTACATAAATAAAATCTCACCTTATTTACTCTATTTCGATATTTAATCTTTTCGAGTAATACGGATAAACAGGGCCATTATACGAATTTTCACGGCATTTTGGAAACGTTTAATTTATGGCTCAACAAATATCCACGATATACTAAAACTGATGTTTACGTTTCCATTTTATTTACGTTCACAAAATGGGCAAAAGACGTTTAAATTAGATGCATACTGTATTCCTTTTAAATTTAAATCTTAATTGCATAGCTGGCATTGTGCAAATAAATGGCATTAAAGAGATGGTGTATGGAGGAATAATACTAGTATCTTGTGATTAAAATCTGCTTGTACAAATAAATATAGCATTTCCTCCATGCGCGTGCGTCTGTAGTTGCTCAGATATTTCTGTTATTCTATTTAAAGATTAAAGCTAACTTGGATTACATATCAGAATATATTTAGGTATTATTTAAAATTGTTAATATTATTGATCAATAATTAGTCCTGCATTAAAAATAAAAAAAAATAGTACGTCTGAAAAGGCTGGGAACGAAAGAATTGTATTACTTACCAGAAAGAGATATAGTCCTAAATTTTTCAGCATCCCACCATCGCATCGTCCGAAATCGATCTGAAATAGAATTTACCGGATACCATTATTGTCAAGTATAACTTTTACTGGAGTCCCATATCTTGGAACGCGAGAATTATCGCGAACTAGATCGAAAGTATCGGAGGTGGACTTCGAATGGCGATCGATTGAAGACGGTCGCCGTCCCTCCGTGCTAACATCCCTTCCCCCTCCCTCCCCCCGCCCCCCGAAACTTTCTTACTCGATAAAACTCGCTCCGAGCGAGAAAACTTTTATCTCGGAATTCATTCGATTACAACGAAAAGCGTCACCGGGATGGAGAGAGTCGCACCTCACTTTTATTAAAAGCGCATACCCCTCCTTTCTGTGTTCGCAGCCTCGCGTATTCGATACGAGATCACGAGCGGGAACATAGGCGGTGCATTCGCCGTGAAAAACATGACCGGCGCCATTTACGTCGCGGGTGCGTTGGACTATGAGACGAGAAAGAGGGTTGGTATACTTGGTATCGCCATAAATGTCATCCGAGGGTGCCGCACGAGCGCCTTACCATAACACATTGTAGCATCTTTGTTTATTCAGAAATTATTCAACGTTTCACTCGTTAAGAAAAGATTTTATTAATTCTTTTTTTTTACTTCTGTCGTATTTCCCGGGGATAATTGAAGAATGAGGAAATAAAAATTAAACAATCAACTTAATAGCTCTTTTAAATGTGTAAATATGAATATAATAATATATGAGTTTGAATTTATTTTATGCACGCACTCTCTACTTGCATTTCACAAAAAGCTTTCAACAACAGAAGGATCAGTATAATATTATTGCAATTGATAAGGATATGATAATTGATGGAGTGACAATTGCGTTATTTGCATTAATTGATAATTAATGTAATGGCAATTGAGTTGATTACGTCAATTGGTAAATTGATACAGTGACAATTGAGTTAATTGTCCTCTTATTTCCTCCATGCATGCGAAAGCTGTATTTAAAATACTAAATATAAAGATACTAATCCGAACACTTACATGTGATATTTTACGACAAAATTCGCGTGTGCATCTTGCAGTACGAGCTTCGGCTTACTGCGTCGGACAACTTGAAGGAGAATTACACGACGGTTGTAATTCATGTGAAGGACGTAAACGACAACCCGCCCGTCTTCGAAAGACCGAATTACAGAACACAAATTACCGAGGAGGACGACAGGACTTTGCCGAAACGCGTTCTCGGGGTAATTCCTCTCTCTTGTATAATCGTTACATCGAACTTTTGCAAATTATGTGTGCCAAATGATCTGTTTGCCTCGTTTCTCGTTACATACAGCGAGCTCGCGATTAATTAGCAATTAATATTTGATTCGCAGGTAACCGCGACTGACGGGGATAAAGATAGACCGCAAAACATTGTCTACTTCCTGACTGGGCAGGGTATCGATCCCGATAATCCCGCGAACAGCAAGTTCGACATCAATCGCACGACTGGAGAGATTTTTGTTCTGAAGGTCTGTTTCTAAATTAATTAATCGATATATTTCTCGTGTAGGAATTTTATCATTGAAGGATTAAACCGACAACCTGACAATTGTCACGTACAAAAATATATATGCATTAAATCAGTAATATATTGCATTGCATCAGTAATATATATTGCATTAAAAATTACAAGTCTACATTAGATGTAACTCTTACTGAGCATCGCAACAGAAGCATCATAAATTCTCTTTGAACTTTTAATATACTAAAAATTAAAAATTAGAAAACATGATGGTGGCGTTTTCTTCGTTAACAATTACGAAATTAATGAAGATGTAAAATGAAACAGTTTCGTTAAATTTATCTTACAGAGTGGTGACAAGATAACTCTGTCTTTTAGTTAATCTGGCACAAATTTTACTTCAAAGACTTGATATAACAATAAGATTAGATTGCAACCCGGTGACTGAGGAAAGGCCGAAATTCCGTATTGATATTTAAACACCTGGGCGCAATCTAACACCGGGTCGGCGCGGAAATTAATTCTTCTATGACTACAGAATGCACGTATTTGTGCACGTGGCAGTGCAGCGACGCAATATTGCGATGGAATAATTCAAATATCGGCGTCGCCGCGGCGCGATATTGAGTTTCAAGTAAAGACCGTGTCAATACACGATGTCCTCGTCGAATCCTACGTTTCACTGGCTACTCAAAGGATCTCGCGCCTGACTCTCCTCTTTTTCTCGCCCGATATAGCCGCTGGACAGAGATCAACCGAATGGCCGGCCACAGTGGCGGTTCACCGTGTTTGCCCAGGACGAGGGTGGAGAAGGTCTCGTGGGTTACGCCGACGTCCAAGTTAACCTCAAGGACATCAATGACAACGCCCCGATATTCCCGCAGGGTGTCTACTTCGGCAACGTCACCGAGAACGGCACCGCAGGTTTGTGGGAGATATAGCCGACGGGGCAATACACGGACGCGGTTACATTCCCGTGCCATTAGAGTTACGCTGATTAGATTCCCGTCCCGCCGTTAGTTACGCTGTTACACGGAGGAGATCTACCCGTGACGGACTTGGACGATTTGCATATCTTAAAGCTTGCGATAGAGATAAAGGAAACTTTATCGATTTAACGAAAGATTGGTCATTTATCCTCGCCAATATAGATAGAGAATTTAGACAGCATTATGTTCAAAATTGGGGACATACCATAAGACGTCTTGTGTCCCGATTTTGGACATACGTGCTAATCTGGGAATTGACTTAACGGTTTTTTTACGCTCTTTTCCGTTAGGAATGGTGGTGATGACGATGACAGCTGTGGATTACGACGATCCAAATGAAGGCACGAACGCAAGACTTATCTACTCCATCGAGAAGAACGTCATCGAGGAGGAAACCGGCTCGCCCATTTTCGAAATTGAATCGGAAACTGGCGTTATCAAAACTGCCGTGTGCTGCCTGGATCGAGAACGCACCCCGGATTATTCTATACAAGTCGTCGCGATGGATGGAGGGGGGTTAAAGGGTAAAATCCTTTTAATTCCAATAATTTTTACACATCTCTTTTCAATTGTGGTCATTAATAATTATCCTAATCATATTTTCATAGCCCTCACATCTAAAATGAATGACTTTTTACTAACAGCTTTCATCCAGAATTAATTAATTTTTCTTTTTCTTTTGTGAAATATTATTTAGTAGAAAATTTAGCGGTCAAAGACATAAATGGAAATAAACGGACATTGAAAGACACTATTCCTACTTGTTTTACCATTTATATCTTACGCGTTCGCTTATTAAAATATTACCATCCGTTCTTTCTGTGCGTTTTTTTATCAGTTACATTCTGGGTGTTCATCTGTATTCAAGTACGAAAGTCGAAAGTTCGAAAGAACTACGATGTGTGCGTGAAACGGCTACAGATATTTCCGCGAGCGATATAGCAATGCCGCATATTTTAAGAGCCACCTATAGAATATTCCATAGAGAGACATCGTTGCAGCATTTCTATGCATTTCTTGGCAGGCACCGGGACGGCATCGATACGGGTCAAAGACATAAACGACATGCCACCGCAATTCACGAAGGACGAGTGGTTTACCGAAGTGGACGAGACGGAAGGGCCAGATCTGCCAGAGATGCCGATACTCACCGTAACCGTCCACGACGAAGACGAGACCAATAAATTCCAATACAAGGTAGCGTCTTATGTTCGCGACGCGAAATTTTTAATCGATTTTCGAAATATTATGTTTACAATTGTAATATAAGTTATTGTATTCTTTTGTGTTCTATTCAAGATTTACGCTGACTGTCACTTATCATTCAATTAAAAATGTTATTGTAAATGAAGAGAAACATATATATCGGTAGTTTATCGGAGTAAAATTCATAGTTACGACGCGTTGCAGTTTCACAAATAATAAAATTAAAAAGAGAAAGATTTTACAATATTAGGAATAAGAATCACAAAGTGTCTGATTGCACCTATATATTTTTTTTTAAGATTGGAATAATACGGACATTGTAAATGTCGTTGAACTTTTAAAGTCCACTTTTTCCTTGTTACTCGTTAATTTTAATAATTTACGATGTATTTCAGGTAATCGAGAACAGCGGTTACGGTGCCGATAAATTTACTATGGTACGAAACAACGATGGCACAGGATCGTTGAAAATTGTGCAATCGCTGGATTACGAGGACCAACTGCAGAGTAATGGCTTTAGGTTTAGGATACAAGTGAACGATAAGGTAAGCAAAAAGAATAAGATACACAAACTTTTAGACTTTTAGAGATAAAGAGTGAGATACGATATAAATAAAGATATTCTAATTAAACACAATAAAATTAAATCTTTTCCATTTAAATTATATATAATTTATCAAACATTAAACATGTGTTTGTCAAAAAATTAATAGTTTTGCGAGAAAAATAATTTCCTTTCTTGCCTATTTAAATTATGAAATTATTGAAAGGTAATTCGTCGTGCTTATATAACAATTTAATCGGACAATCATCTCTTCAGGGCGAGGACAATGACAATGATAAATACCACGTGGCCTATTCCTGGGTGGTCGTGAAATTGCGAGATATCAATGACAATCAGCCACAATTCGAGAAAGCCAATATCGAGACTACCGTGCCGGAGAACGCCCGCATAGGCAGCAGCCTGGAAACGTTCAAGGCCACTGATCCGGATCAAGGTGGCAAGAGCAAGGTCTCCTATTCCATCGACAGAAGTTCCGATCGAAAGAGACAGTTCTTCATCAACGAAAACGGCACCGTGTCGATACAGAGGAGCCTTGATCGCGAGGAAACTCCTCGGCACCAGGTAAATTATAAGATACTATAATATAGATTGATCGATAAAATTTGTTAAATAAACATGGTACAAATTAGAAGATTACTTGCAATGATAGAATTTGATAAATCCTGATAAAAATTTTTATGTATTATCAACACTACGACACATTAACTAAAATGACACTAAATTACAACGTAGATTAATGTAGCGTAAAAGTTATTGAAATAATAATCTGCTTTAGGTTAAAATTTTGGCGATCGACGATGGAATACCACCCAAAACCGCGACAGCTACCCTGACAGTCGTCGTACAGGATATTAATGACAATCCACCGAGATTCCTCAAGGACTATCGTCCAGTTTTACCGGAATACGCGCAAACCAAAAAGGTCGTCGAGATTCTCGCCACCGATGATGATGATCGATCTAGGAGCAACGGCCCTCCGTTTACTTTCCGGATGGATCCTAACGCGAACGATGTTATTAGAGCTAGCTTCAAAGTTGAGAGCGATAACAGTAAGTTTTGTTAATTAATAAATTTATCACAGTACAACAAAATTATTCTTTGAGAGAAGACAATCCGCAAAATTTTTTCGCAATATCATAATTTGTCTTAATTAATAATAAAAATCTAGTTGCATAAATATATAAATGCATTGCAGAGTACAGTTTTTCACTCTCGTGCTCTTATTATTTTTCAGAGGGAGCCAATGGAGACGGAATGGCCGTGGTGTCATCCTTGCGATCGTTCGACAGGGAACAACAAAAGGAGTTCTTGATTCCTATCGTCATCAAGGATTCCGGGAACCCTTCAATGTCTGGGACCAGTACCTTGACGGTTATCATAGGGGACGTTAACGATAATAAGATGCAGCCTGGCTCCAAGGAAATCTTTGTATATAACTACGCAGTACGTATTAGCGTTACATTAAATAACGCTAAGATAAGTTGCATTACATTATATCTCAATTTTTATGCGAATAATGCAAGCCTTTTGAAAGCTCTGTGGATGTAATATAATCTAATTAATTAATTTCTAGGGACAATCGCCAGATACCGAGATAGGTAGAGTGTACGTGTACGATCTGGACGACTGGGATCTGCCGGACAAGAAATTCTACTGGGAAGGACTGGAGCACGCGCAATTCAGACTGGACGAGGACTCGGGGATGATTTACATGAAATCTGGCACGCACGACGGCAAGTATCATCTACGGTTCAAGGTCTACGATCGGAAGCACACGCAGACGGACGTGCCCGCGAATGTGACTGTCACCGTCAAGAGTATCCCGCACGAGGCGGTGTTGAATTCAGGCTCGGTCCGAATATCCGGAATAACGGACGAGGACTTTATTCGCGTCTGGAATTATCAGGTGAGTCTTAAAATCCTACTGAGTATAACTGATGTATGTACATATTATACCGATACATTTTACTAACAAATTTTTTTCTTAATAAAATAAATTTATGCTCTTAAACACTTCCGAAGTAAATTTTTTTTAAATTTTTATATTTTAGTTCGCGGAAGGATACTATAAGATTTACGTGATTTTCAGAATCAAACTCTGTCGCGGAGCAAAGCAGATCTATTCAGGGACAAGCTGTCGCATCTATTGAATATAGACAGGGACAATGTGGATGTTTTCAGTGTTCAATTAAGAAGAGTGCATCCACCGTTGACGGACGTCAGATTCGCCGCGCACGGCTCCCTATATTACAAACCGGTCAGGCTTAACGGCATTGTACTTATGCATCGCGAAGAGGTAAATGTCATTCAAGAAACGGTTTGAAGATACTTCAAATGCTTTAAATAAATTGCGTTGAATAAAAGATTAAAAATTCAAATAAATTTCTAATACAACATGTTAATTAAATATCTCTGACTGATAGATCGAGAAAGATGTGGGTATCAACATAACTATGGTCGGTATCGACGAGTGTTACTACGAGAACGAGATGTGCGAAGGCAGTTGTACGAACACCCTCGATATCAGCAACCTGCCGTATATGGTGAACGCGAACAGGACCGCCCTTGTTGGCGTACGCGTTGACGTGATAGCCGAGTGCACCTGTGGAGCACGAAATTTTAGCAAGGGCGAGTCCTGCAGGAACAGTCCCTGCTACAACGGCGGACGCTGCGTGGAAGACCGATTTGGATTGTCGTAAGTGAAAATCAATTAAATTCCTCGTTGACATATCGCGAATCGTATGCATTTACGCAAAGTTTGCTGGCAAGAAAGAGTCTCGTCGTCTTTGTAAATATAAAAATAAACTATAACGATTATTCTCTTAAATAGTTTTTGTCCTTTGATCACCGTTAGAGCTACTTATGTGTTTTACAACTCTAGATGTCAATGTCCATCTGGTTACAACGGCCCGAGGTGTCAGCAGACCGCTAGAAGCTTTCGGGGCAACGGTTGGGCATGGTATCCCGCTTTGGAGATGTGCGATAATAGTCACTTGAGCTTCGAGTTTATCACAAGAAAATCTGACGGACTATTATTGTACAATGGTCCGATTGTTCCTCCCGAAGTCGACGAGATAATGGTTTCTGGTAAGATCTTCAATCTTTCGAACTTTTACGTTTTTTAATTGCCGTATCAATGATTTTATTATGTTAAACGTGTTAACAGACTTTATCTCGGTCGAATTGGAACGCGGTATACCGAGGCTACTGATCGATTTTGGATCTGGCACTTTGGAGCTGAAAGTGAAGCCAAAGAAAACCTTGGACGACGGCGAGTGGCATCGACTTGACATTTTCTGGAATACGGAGGTAAAGTAATCGATATTATATTGTTTTACTTGTAGAACTTGATAAGCTAAGCACACGTACCGGTTTTTTAAAAATAAAGATTATAAATTATACTACATGCATTACGTGATGTACATATTAAGCTAAGATCTAAGCTAAAAACAAGCCTTTGGCGATTTTTCATGAGTGCAAAATAGTTCTAACGCTGGAATTATCTACAGACCGTGAAGCTCATCATCGACTACTGCAAATCCGCGGAGATATCCGAGTTGGAGGATGGAAGCCCACCGGAATTCAACGACACTAGCTGCCAGGCCACGGGCACGATACCGCCGTTCAACGAGTACCTGAACGTGAACGCACCGCTGCAGATCGGCGGTCTCTACGTAGAGCAGTTCGATCCGACGCACTACAAGTGGAAGCACATGCCGGTGGGCAAGGGCTTCGACGGCTGCATCAAGAATCTCTTCCACAACAGCAAGCTGTACGATCTCGCTCACCCGGGACTCTCGCGGAACAGCGTCGCCGGTTGTCCGCAGACGGAGGAGATCTGCAACAATCAGGAATCGACCTTCCGCTGCTGGGAACACGGCACCTGTGTCGGCAGCTTCACCGAGGCGAGATGCCAGTGCAATCCCGGCTGGACCGGTCCCGGATGCATGACGCCGACGATCCCGACCACCTTCAAGCCTCAGAGCTACGTCAAGTACGCGCTGTCCTTCGAGCCGGACAAGTACTCCACTCAGGTGCAACTGAGATTCCGTACCCGAGAGATTCACGGCGAGCTGTTCAGAGTGAGCGATCAGCACAATAGGGAATACGCCATTTTGGAGGTGACGCATTTTGAATTTTAATTATTAAAGGATTATTTTATGAATATTTTCTACATTCTTTTACAAAACAGCCGCTAATTGAGCAATTTATTACTCACGAAGGATTACTTATTCATTATTTCAATGCGAGTTGTGAACGATTGCAATTTGAAGCGTTATAATTTCATTGTGTATTTCTTGCACGAGTTGTTTTTGATATTACTTTTAACAAAATATATTTATCTTTTTTATGTAAAATAAGATATTTAATTATAAAATCTATATTTTTTACTTATTAGACGCATTACATAGAACAAAGTTCTTTAAAAGTTTTTACAATTTTTTTGATGCGCGACTTTAAATATATTTTTGAAATGTCCAGATTTTTAAATTTCGCTGTGTATAATTTTGATGAATTAGGCTCATTGAAGAAAGAAATTTTAACGGACTATCTGAAACATCTATTCGTTATAATTTCAGATCAAGGACAGCAGACTGCACTTCAGGTATAATCTGAACAGTCTTAGGACAGAAGAACGAGATATCTGGCTCTCGGCGATAGCCGTCGACGATGGACAATGGCACACGGTCAGAGTGTCGAGATATGGATCCGCTGCAACTTTGGAGTTGGACGGTGGCGAAGGACGAAGATTCAATGAGACCTTTTCCTTCGAAGGTCATCAATGGCTCCTCGTGGACAAGCAAGAGGGTGTCTACGCCGGTGGCAAGGCGGAATACACTGGCGTTCGCACATTTGAAGTTTACGCGGATTATCAGAAAGGTAATTTAGATCGCTTTACGGAGAAATAAAATATAAATGCGCTTTTATATTATTACAGTAACTTTAAATAAATGTTTAGATCTTTTTATATTTACATAATTAGAAGACGCATAATTTTTAATTATATTTTTCCTGTTCTTACAAAATATAATAAAACAAAATATATATTTGAATAAGATACAAAAGAAATTGAATTGGCACATATATTAAAAATAGTTTCTAATGTGTGTGATAATTTTTTTGTTTGAGAAATAAAGAAATCAGATTTGTTTTATTTTATGAGAACTTCATAATAAATTTTGAGTCTTTTACACAATGAAATAAATTTATTAATAATTGTATAATTTTTAATAAAAATCGAAGGTTGTTTGGACGACATAAGATTGGAAGGGAAACATCTTCCGCTACCACCCGCCATGAACGGGACTCAATGGGGTCAGGCGACGATGGCGCGGAACTTGGAGAGGAATTGTCCGTCGAATAAACCGTGTGCCAATGTCATTTGTCAAGATCCCTTCGAGTGCATTGATCTCTGGAACGAATACGACTGCACGTAGGTATCATTATTACGACTTCATTTATCTTCGAGACAATCGATGTATTACAAACTGTTTTTTTTTCATCGCCGCAGTTGCGGGGAGGGAAGAATCCCCTCGCCGGATAACAAGGGATGCATGGATAAAAACGAGTGCATCGATTATCCTTGCCTGAACGGTGGCAGATGTATCAATCAGGACCCGCGATTCCGATACCGGTGCATTTGTCCTGATGGCTTCTGGGGCGAGAACTGCGAGCTAGTCCAAGAGGGACAGACGCTCAAGCTGAGCATGGGCGCGTTGGCGGCGATCCTCGTCTGTCTCTTGATCATTCTCGGTTAGTATATGTGCAAATCGATCACTGTCAAATACTTGAGACACATAAATATCTATATATATAATCTGACGCATGCCTTTTGTTTCTTTCTATTGTATCTCTTTATTTTACGTGTTATTATACATCTTTGATAATATTTTATTTTTATTTTATGTTTTTAAGCATAAGCACGTTTAATTATGTTTCAGTTCTTATTTTTGTGGCGACCGTATGATCGACTGAAAAATAAAACCAAGTTTTACTACGAAAGCTTATGTCTCTTTATTTTACTTTCCCTTTTGTTTACTCATTTTTTTACAAATTATTTCCTCCATCTGCTTTAATTGTTTTCACAGCGCGCTTTGCATTTGAATGCTAATCGAAACTGCATATTTAAGATCGCACAAGACTGCCTCAATATAAAGTTCGTTTCGAGAATGATGTTCCCGACTGATAAGACTGACACCTGTTTTGTACATTGCAATATCGTAGAACACAGTTGCCGCTGTGGATTTTGTTACACTTTGCACTTGCTTGAACTCTCAGCAGAGAAGTATTACCTCGTTATGTTGATAACGACACTTCGTTTAACACGGACAATACGAATTAATTTTATTAATATCAAAATTGCAGTTCTCGTCTTGGTATTCGTCGTTTACAACAGAAGACGAGAAGCGCACATAAAGTATCCCGGCCCGGATGACGACGTGAGGGAAAACATCATTAACTACGACGACGAGGGTGGCGGAGAGGACGACATGACCGCGTTCGATATCACGCCTCTGCAGATTCCGATCGGTGGCCCGATACCGGAAATGGGTGGCAAGCTGCCTCCGTGTAAAGTAGCCTGTACGTTGTATTTTTCGATTGTAAAGCGACGGGATAGGTCACGAGAGCTGGAGAAATAATCGTAGCGCTCTTCTCAGATCCACTTGGACCGGAACCGAACGTTGGCGTCTTTATCGAGGATCACAAAAAGAGGGCCGATAGTGATCCAAACGCACCGCCCTTCGACGATTTACGGAATTACGCATACGAAGGTGGCGGAAGTACCGCGGGTTCTCTAGAATCATTAGCCTCCGGTATGTAAAAGGGAAATTTTTCAAGATATTTAGTATTTTATATACTCTGTAAAAAAAGCACCATACATTTCTCAAAAGTTTTCAAATTTTCTTTTTAAATTGTTTTTACAAGAATTTACTTTTTCATGTCGTAGTACGAAATATTATTTGTATTAATAGTATTAATATGATATTTTTTTTGTATTAACACTAGAACTACCAAGAGGGTCAAAAAATGATCCGTTTGGCATTTTTTAATAATGTATTACTCATTTTTAAAATATTTTAATTTTTGAAACTTTCCCTGATTTTTATTAAAATTACATAGATTAATTTGTTATCTTTTTTCCTCTTTTTTTTTTTTTAAGATTTCTCGTAGACATAAATATAGCTTAATCTCCGGTTTTATTACTTGAATCAGTAAACAAATTTTACTTTTTTTAAATCAATTTTTTCTAATCCTAGGTACGGACGATGAGCAGCACGAGTACGAATATCTAGGCGCCTGGGGCCCGAGATTCGACAAGCTGGCCGACATGTACGGTCCCGCGGAGGAGAGCGAGGAGGAGGAATAATCGACCGAGCACACGACCGAGTCTCCACATCACATTACACCGAGTAACGCGATCCACATCGTCCGAATGGGTGCTCGTGAGACCTGCACGATCGAGACGACCCGGTCCGTCACGTCGGACGACAGAGATCGCCGTTGCGAGCATTCGGTGGATCTCGAGAGAAAACGAGAGCACGCCTCTCTTCGCCGAGAGTGACGAATCTCCCTTTCCCCGACGAACGGCGAGGGACAACTTCCTCGTAGTGGTGCAGCTAGTGAAAGTACTAATTACACATGTGATGTCGCACGCACCACGTAACGACACGCCGTATCATCCGCGGTGCGTGCGCACAACACACACCCAGACACACACGTTACTCGGGGGTCAAAGGTGCATAAAAGGAACGTTGCAATAACGCGACGGCACACGGTAGAAAGAGGTGGTAAATGAGAAGGCGTGGAAGTCTTTAGCATATACCTATCTGTATAGTACGTTATAGTACGTAGTGAGATATCTCCAAAGACACGCGACACAGGACTTTTTCTAACGTGATCCCTCACCCTCGATACCCACACGATTTCCGCTCATCGGTCGCCATCGGTAAGTCACCCACGCATACACCTATGTATACATATATACGTGTAGGTATAATATCGCGTCGTTGTCGTCAAGTGTCGGATCTTAGATCGGCGTTTCGTCCTCGCGCGCAACCGGGATCGTTCATTTATTTAAATGTCGCGGAATTGGGGCGAACGTGTTAGATGTGTTGTAAACGATTAATCAAGGGCATTCACGTACATTCAGACACACATATATACATACACACATATATACGTTAACACAGGACACCGACGATACCGTTTTGAAAGACGGCATGATTCCGTCATCGTCGTCGGCGGCGAGATCCTTCGTTTCTTCGTCGCGCCAACTCTTCGTTTCTTCGTTCTTCTGCACGATGTCTCTCCCGTGGGACGTATCCTCGACGAACATATATATATATATATATATATATATATATATTTATTTATTGTTGTCCTGAATGCGGAGGAATCCCGGAAGCAACGCACTCTCGTTTATGACGGACGATCCTACCGTAGATAGTCTGCCATAATAGGAATTATTGTTAAGGTATCGTTAGTTGTCGCGACATCGGCTCATTGTCGTCATCGTCATCATTATCGTCATCCTCACCGATTAGCATTATATTATTAAATATTATAATATATTATATAAATATATTATAAATATGGATTTATATAGAGGCGCACGACAAAATGAGGCAAGAAAGTGATTAAACGGAGAAAAAAAGTCCGTGAAAGGTGGGGGAGAGAGTATGAGTTATCGCGCGCGCGCAGTGTAATTATTATAATTACGGTATAGCGGACATAAAGTCTAAATATAAATACAAATATAAATATATATATAAATATAAATACAAATATATATTATGCATATACATACAAACAGAGAAAACACGTACGAACATACAGACAATTAACACAGAGAGATGAGAGATTTGCATTCGCTAAAAAATATGCTCACCGTTGATATATATATATCTCGATATAGTTTTAATATTTATTTTATGTCATCTCTCAAAGGAGATCGGAGCGCGAAGAGCACGGTATATGAGGTACGCGTGCACGAGGAGCCGTGGGGGGAGAGAGAGAGAGATAAATGTGGCAGGATTTCGTTCTAGTCATCCCGAATGGTTCGTTGATTCATCGTTTCTACGTGGACAGAATTTCTTTGCCGCTTTTCCCCACATTTGAACGAGCGGGAACTAACTAACTCTCATAGCAATTATATATAATTCTATTAAAATTACGGGATTACTATTTAAGATTTATAATAAATTTCTACGAGTTTTTGGTAAATCGCTGGAAATTCTTTTTCCTCAAAAGCATCCGTAAAATAAATCGTGAATGAGAAAGTTAATCCGTTTTAACTAATATGTAAATAAAGAGATTGTTATAAAGATACAGCAATCTCTTTTTTGAATTTAATTCTTATTAAACAAGAACGACGTCGATATAATTATAAGCCAGATGTGACTTAACTGACGAATAAGGAAGGATTAAGATTTAAAAATGATCATTAATCGTAATTAGTCGAACCGCGCGGATTTTATTAACAAGGGAAATCACAACTTAAAGGTCCCGTCTAACGCAAAATGAGGCTCGACGAGCTTTTCGATACCTCACGACGCCACGTGCACGCGTGATCATATTATATCGTCGCGCGCCTTTCGCGGGAGGAACTTTCCACGCACCGAGCCCCGACTGAACCTGTAAAATTCTCAACGGGAATATTAATAGTCAATTTACCGGTTAGGGAGAGAAAGCGAGAGAGAGGTTGAAGGGAGAAGCCGTTAGGAGTACGTCGCAAGCACTTGTACGAATATTGTAATTAACATGTGTATGAGTGTGCCGGCGCGCGCAGTATTTGCGTGACTGCGCATCGCTGTATAATTGTCCTACCAATGATCGTGTTTGCGTATGGTTTTTCAACGAATTTGTGATATTAAGTTGCGTATATCTACAACAGTACACGTCCCCGCGTACTATCGTCGTTCCTCGAAGACCTGCGAGCACCGACAGCGCGACCGTATAACTCTTAACGAAGCAAAAGTCTTGAATACGTCTGAAGAAATCTCGAGGAATATTCATGAGATTTGCGATATTTCCTAGTCTTTTGTTTTGTTTGGATTTATATCAGTTGCTTTTTGCGGCGCAACATTGTGGCGACGATAAAATCGTTACAGCGACGGTTATTCAATAAAATAATTCTAATTTAGTGCTAAATTGTCGAGTAGCTCACGGGAAAAATTACTAACAAAATCTTGAAAAGTAGAAATATATTTTTTCGAACTACAACGAATGTCCGACGTAATTTTATCATCGCGTTATGAGACAGCAATAATCCTACCTCGAGCAATAAGTTCAGTAGCAATAGATGCAGTTCTCTGTTCTGAGGTCTTTGATTGCAGTTCGTCGCTTTGAACTTACTTGTACCGTTCACTGTTCAATCTCGTATTTAATTGAACTATATTTAACTGTGAAGAATATCAGGTGGAAAGGGAAAAGACCTTTTCTTCAAAATTTAAGAAGAAATTAAAGTTTTTTTAAGGTAATAGCTCACTGGAGAAACTTTATAGAAATTTCGGTTAACTATGAACCTATTTTGAGGCTACAGATGGTGAAATGAATCTCATAAAAAAAAATCTTGCTCTCTCGGTGCCCGCACGTCCAATTCATCAAAGCCCGTCGTTCATCCTAGATCCCTTAGTTTCTCCAGACATTCCCATCATCGACTCGATCCCGTCAAGTAGATTTTAAGCAGAGACAGTATTTGAATGGGGTTATTGGAGGACGAAAGAATTATTGTTAAGTAACTGTATTGAGTAGCGCGCGAGCGCGCGTCGCGTGTGTGCAGTGGCAAAAAACAAAAACAAAACAGAAAGGCAGCCTAATTATACGAGTGTATGTACAATGTATCGATGAGGTGCGATCGATCGTTCATTTAAAAAACAATCGTCCCTCTAATTTAAATACGATTAAAATAACAGATATTTATTTTTCTTACTTTTAAGATAATGGATCAGTTAATTCGCCGAAAGAAATGTTCTTACCGTTAAATGCCGAATTTGTTCAACTTGAATTAAAAATTGTTCTAAGTTAATTTCAACTACTATATACTTGAATTGACATAATAATAAAGATTGCCACTTTCGTGGCTGCGTAAACTTGATACGCGATGGCGATTGATCGCGTATCTGTACATCGATGAGGCTCGAAGACTCTTCCATTCGCTCGACCCGTGCACCTCGATCGTTTTATGTAAAAGCTTTTTGAGAAGCAGTATGTGCATGCGTTTAAAACGCGTTTAGCCGAAAAATATACATGACAGAAGCGGAATTAAAAATTCCGAAGTTGAATGAATGCAGAGATTAAAACCGATATCTCGATATCGACAAAGTTCTAAAAGACGAAAAAAGTTGAAAGATATCTAAAACAGATATCTAGAACCAGATCTGAAAGATCAGTATTTCTTTTAAATACCTCACGATCTTCTTAAAATATCTTTACGGCATCTTTTAAATACTTTAAATGTTTTGAATATATTTTTAATGAACACAAACTTTGACGCGATAAACACGCAAAAACAATCTACTCAAATTAATACATATTGTATAAGATTATAATTCACAAACTCAGATTATTATTTGTAAAAATTAACAAGATTTTACATTTTTCTTTTATACTTGCAACATCGAAAATCTAACTTGTTAGATAGTTATATCGGTTTCAGTTTTTGCGTGAGACTCGAACATTAATGAGCAAATCAGGAAACAGAGTCCGCGAGACTGTCGCTTAAAGAAAAATGCTCACGACGATTTCATTTGCGATCGACTGATTTCAATCGTACTTATATTTAACGAACCGTATTGAAGATTTATGACGAGAGATGCGAGTTACAAAAGTTATAAAAAGTCAAAGAATATTCGAACAGCAATTCATTTGTCAAAAAAACGAACGAACTGTTCGAAGGAGGGAAACTAAAATAACGACACGTTCCTTAAATCCATTCCAATACAATTGTCGCGATTAATTAATAATTAATATTAAAAGATTCGGCTCAACGTCACTTGTCGTCGTTAAATTAGATTAGTCTGTATGCTTGCTTAGTTCGTGCGTATAATCCCAAAATTTGGCGCTGTAAATCGAAGGCAAATAAGTTCGAATGCCCGTTTCGTGATACGGGAATTTACCATCTAAGTGCGTACTTACGGAATCTTTTGGAAAGATCTCATTTTACATTACATTTTATCGCAACCGGGGATCGCTCTTTGATACTACCGGTCGCGGAATGAAGACAAGACATTTGTATGCTCATCCTACATATCCCCAACTTTTTCTGAGCACTGCCTAATCGTGCACAAAGGTACACTTGGTAAACGGGGTACTATAGGGCCGAGCGCGAGCAAACTCGTACATAATTAACATAACCGAATTCCGTTCAGTTGAAAAAAAAAAAAAAGAGATAAGAAAAAAGGATAAAGAGAGAAAACGATAGAGTCCGCTTCACATCGCATCTTACGAAAGATAATGAAGAACACCTCCCGTTTTCGACAAATCAGCTTTTTCGAATTGTCAACGCTGGCTCTATAAATAATTATTTTTTATTTATTTGCAGAGGATTAGTGTTTCTAAGAAATTAAAATATTATTAATATTATGTAGATTATTGAATTAAAATTATGCAATTTATTAGCATTAAACAAAAACTGTGCAATATTGGACTCTACTTTTCATATTTATTTTGTTAAAAATTTTCTTTTCTTAGATTTTTAGCGCACAAAAAAGATAGAGATCGTATCCGAGAACAATATTTTCCAGAGGAAATCGGTTGAAAAATTTTTTACTAAAATATATTGCGATACTAAAAAGACAAGAAGAGCGAGTCAAGATGCGAACCTCAGAAAATAATGTACTTTCGCAATTTAGAGTAATTTAGTATTTATAGGAGAGGTGTTCTTTTTAATGTCGTGGATCAATGTTTCACAGCGAAGTGATGATCGTAGAGCGTAAGATGAATTTATTACGGAGAGAGACGGCTTTATCTGTCGGTCGACGAAAAGAAAGATCACTGTAAGATACACATATTATTACATAATGTAACGCTGCCACTGAACACATCCCGTTAGTACAATTACCGTATATATAATAATAATAATATTAAATAATCCGCAGTATACTGGGACACACCGTATTATTAATTGAATTGATATTTATTAACGATTATAATTATTATATTATTACCACTATATTATCTATACCATTTGTACTTTACACTTCAGTTCGAACGAAATAAATGCCTTCTTTTTCATAAAACCGTCGATGAGATGACAAAGGCGTATTTCACTTATAAATTGAATTATGTACCTAGATTCCTTTGCATTGGCACTTTTCGAAACGTCAATACCGAGAAAATTACGTTTTCTTTTTGCAATTATATAGTCGTACAAAGTTATAATTTTTAACGAGTCTAATTTCTTCCGTAACGAATTTTGGATCTTCAGAATAGTTGAAACACTACCTCTGGCGATAGTTTACACGATTTTTTTTACGGCCATTTTTGCGATTGTTGTATTTATTTTCCTTGCTGTTCTTTACTTCTGGAACTTCGCTCCGTATACGTTGCCAAAATTTTGTTCCCGAATGCGACAGAAAATATATCACTCCATTATCCCTAAATTTTCGATTAATTTACATTATACAATAAATTACCTAGTTAGAAATGGTATAAATCAAAATTTAACACATCGACAGAGAAATCTTTAATAAAAAAGGTATTGTTTAACTCAGTCGTTTTTAAGTTAAAAGATTCACATTTTGTTATTATCACAGAATTAAATATTTTTATTTAAATTAAGTAAAAGTATCTAATTTTAAATAAATATTTGTATAATATTAAGTAAATAAGGTATTAGGAGCCACCTAATAAATATTTTTTGGGATCTAAATATTTCTTTCTCAGTGCAGCAAAACTCTTTGTCGATGATAAGATGCAATTATTACGAACTTACGTTAAATCTTTGAAATCGACAGTTCTTGTAACGTGTAGAGTAATCAGAAAAATCATTGTCGCTATTCCATTTATGAGAATCGGCATAAGTGATTTGATCGTAATGAGCATTTCAACTGCATTTCCCAATTTTAACCGACTGAGTATCTGTTCGAGTTAATTTTCGGTAAGTATAAGTATTGATATAAATTATTTATAAAAATATATTTTGATATATTACTGTAATATTAAAATTAAAGTAAATGAATAGGTAAATAATACGTTACTGGACAAATTTTCTTTGGTAGTGTGCTTAAGACGAATACGTCTATTGGTGCCCATATACATGCGATTGCAAATTCCAGGAAGAACGCAGTTACTAGAAACTGAAATTGAAAATAGAGAGAGAGAGAGAGAGAGAAAAGATCGCTGTATAGAAAATATACAAAAGAATAAGTGATCAAATAGGATATTTAGCGGCACACTAACCTCATACAAACACATAATAACAGGTTTCGGTTCTCGGAACGATGGTGGAAAAATCGTGGAATTGATGACGATAACGTAGACACTTGTCGCAAATAAGAAAGTGGTAATTGGTGGACTTGATATCAGAGGATAACCAAATTCGTCTTCCAAAGCGTCAGCAAAGCACGTTTGAAAAATCGATATTCTTAAACTGTTGAGTATTAATGCCCATATCGTACACGATAATCGCGCCATTTTGGAACACGATATTAAATAATCGTAATTTAATCATTCGGATTAAATTTATAGCTCATCAATTATTAGAAAAGAAAGATGTTTTTAATGACATTTACAGTGAAGTTAGTTTTTAATAACTTTCAGCCTGTCAGATTAAACATAGAGAATTTTCCAATATAATTTTATAAAAATTAAAATAAGAAAAATTATCTATATAACATAGTAGGATTATAAAATAGTAAATTCGTGAAACTATAATATTTCAAATTTATTATATAATTTTTATAAATTCCATCTCTTTTCAGAATTAAATCGACAAAATAGAAAAATGCAAATTTCTATTTCTATGAATATTTACATGCAAAACACAGTGATTATAATGCAATAATAATTTTAGAAAATATTATAAGCACTGCAAATATTTATTAAACAAGTATAAGACATAAGTACATAATAAAAATGTAACAGATTAGAAGAAACTGTAACGTCTAAAATTTATCGTGAAAGGGTTCATTTGATAAAATCTGTAAAAGAATGATTGAGTCACTTCGGGATTGCTGAAAGTAACTCTCCTGTTTTTGCGTTTACGATGTCTTGCCTTCGTGAACTGTAAATGTCTTTCAAAAAACAAAAGGAGTCTTATTAGATCATAATCATATAATTATAGTATTTAATTTTAAATTGATTAGTAGAGTATATTTTATTAAAACTTATTATATATATATATATATATATATATATATATATATATATTAATTTCATTTCTATGTAAGAACATTAAATTAAATTACTTGAGCCTTTAAGCAAACACATAGAGTTTATGATTGATATTTTGCAAATAACAAATATTTAAATAAAATATTCCGTTGATGAATTGTAAAGAGTTCTTGTTATAAATATTATTAAAGAATTTAAATTTTGCATAGAATCTGGCAGCAAAATTTCTTTTTGTTAAGAATTGTACATGTTTACGTATGGATAAGTTGCTTCGTAATTTTATTACATGTCGGACAATTTTGCGGGTAAGATTTGAAGTTTTCAGGATTCACTACTTGCTCCACGTATCCAGAAATGTGTCCAGGGATTCAGTGGCATCCAGCATCCACACGAACGACAATAGCGACATGCAAAATGCCATGTACGTGGCTGCGTAGTCTCTAGCCATGTAATCCGCGAAGAAGGTTAACCAAGAGTAGCTGTCCAGGCCCATAGCAGTATTCAACCATGTCAACTAAAATAAAACAACTGTTTCAAATTTTGGAACTTCTGTATATCAAAAGTTTCGTTTTTCGTGTGGCAAAAATTTCATATAATTTTGTAAATAAAAGTCGTCAATAATAATCATTTTTTGAACAGAAAGATTAAATAAAATAAAAATTGATTTGAGGAAAATATGATAGCGTGTTATATTTTTTACTTAGTAGATGCTACGTACCCACTTACTGGATTCTTGAGTTAGACAATAAATTGCATGCATCATTGGTATCCATACCATATGGATCGCCAAATTCGTACTCAATGCAGCTATTAACATCTATACAATAAAATCAATTTCAAATCAATATTATTTTCCAATTTGATGTTACACGGAGAGAGTTTTTTCTTAAAATTTATCCTGAAATCATGGTAGTTGTGGGACAAGATGTACCACCAAGAATTTTATGCGAGCTGTTCTGATTAATATCTACTATAATAAAAAATATTAATATCTATTACATTAAAATATATAATATGTTTGATTAATTTTACTAAAATATATATAGGTCAATAATTTTTAAAAATTTACCAATCTATTTGGTAATTTTTATCACGTTGTTTGTAAAATGTCTCGTATATTTTAAAAATTCCTTGGTTGCCAAGTTTTGTAGTAAAAAGGGTAAAATATATAAAAAAAAATTCTCTCCGTACTACTTATCGTGCCTGTTTCAATAATAAAATTCTTCTTCTTGGTAATTATTTTAATTCGATAACTTTATGCTTTATGTTCTATTTTTCTACATATACTTAGTCAAAAAGACACTGCGTGATAATACTACTTTTTATTTAAATCGATTTTAGAGGAATGGCTCTAGGACTCACTTCATAAATGTATAGTAGCTGAATTGGTGGTTCTTTAAGAGTTACGGGCCACAGTCTGTATTCTGCTAATAGACATAAAACCGAGAACACAAAGAGTACTGATGCATATGATGGATCAAAAGGCAAGATGTTTTCCTCCTCGAAACACAGACCGATTATGCAGATCTGTCGCAAATGCGTATACAATCCTGTCGCCACTACGGTAATCCAGTGAGGATCTATGAAGTTCGCGTAGTATTTTACAGTTTCCATCTCTTGAGTTAACCACGCGACAATCTTCTTGAGAAAGTCTTCTAAGGGAATTTTGTTCTCTATTTATGTGTCTTTCGTTTCGTAATGGTTTCACTATGATTTCAGATCAAAATAGCAGAATGAATCAGCTAAACCTAGAAGAGACAGTTTTAAGAAACATATTTTTTTGTAATTAAAACTCGCTTTAAAAAAATAATAATTTTTTTTTATTTTCAAGTTTCTGTTCTTAATCTTTATATTCAGACATAACAAAGAAAAAAAATTGTAATACGCATTGATTAATAGCAGATTAATGAATAAGATAAATGATAAGATATTAACACAGAATGTGTATTAAATTAGATACGAATCGTTTGTTAAATTATTCTATTATAACAAACCTTGCATCGTGATAAAAACAATGTTGTAAAAAGATGATTTTACAGAGTTTCGTTAGTTCTTCATGAGATTAAACGTGGAAATCTTTGGTTAATATTTCATTTTTAACATTAGTGACAGATACACAAATGCCTGATATCTTGTATCTTCACTTTTCTTATATCTGAACTTTTCATCGACGTTAAATGTTGATACATATATAAATGTCGACAATTGTAACTCTCGCTCCAACCGTTAATTTATCATTACACTATTATTATATCGATATCCACACATCGAGTAGTTAGGTTATAAAACTGTCCTGTTATATGCTGCAAACATCAAGACCTTCTTGCATCTGTTTAACAGAGTATTTAATTTTTAATTTGTTACAAAAATTAAAAAAACATTGTAAATTAAATTAAATATTGCTAATTACTTTAATCATGTTAATTAAATTAACAATGTTACGATTTAATAAATTCATTGCGCATTAATTAAATTCAGATTTTTACGAACAGTATCACATTCAAATCCGATCTTGAGTTTCAAGTTAAATTTTGTGCGCGAACTTAACTCATTGAGTATCGACGAGAACCTATCCGCAGGGCCCAAAAAGATCCAGCTAGATTGAACATAACACATCACCAAATAGTAAGTCCTATACGTATATATATATATATACTAGCTTTTTCGCCCACGTTTAGCGTGGGTTCAAAAGCTCTTTCTTCTGTTCCCCGAATAGTAATATTTAGCCCAAAAAATTTTTTTTGTGAAAAAAGGGACCTTTTTTAGAAAATTTTGTATGGGGGCCTCTTGTTTCCGGGCTCAGACTTTTTTCCAAAACCCTCTACGGTCTAAGTTAGAGTATCATGAGATAATATACCAAATTTAGTTGTTCTAATTCGAAAACTGTAGATTTGCATAGCGGACAAACATACATACATACATTCATTTATATATATAGAGATAGAAATATTTTTATAATAACGTTATTGATGCAGCTACTTGCAACTCCTAGCTATTTTGGAAAAAATAACATTAAAGGGTGGGGGTATGTTAAAAAAATATAACATAAAAAAAATCTAAATACACGATTACAGAGATTACTTAATACCGTAACCTTTTTGTCTAAAACATTTTTTCATATACCTCACGGTTTCAGAGATATATTCACTCGTATAATCAAATATGTAGAATTTTTTTCGAGGGGGAATTTGTTTCAATCTCTAAACATGCTTCGAAGCCGATAAAAAGAAATACGCGTCTGTTATTTTTCGCTACTCTACAATATTTCCAAAGCCTATCAGAATAGGTGAGAGACAGTTCCAAACATTCTCTTGTAAATAAACTTATAATATTAAATAGCTTTTATATTAAATAAATTAAAACGTTGTTACTGTCATTGGCAGTACTTGTTTCTCGAGATATCGTTGGAAACTGCGATAGTCTAACGTGTAACGTCTGATATTATAATAAACATCTCACACAGCAACCATATCAAAAAGATGTTCAGAAGATATCCCGAAGATATCCTATCGCCTAAATATATCTTCGGGATATCTTCTAGACGTCTTTTTAATATGCATGCTGTGTGGGATGAAACTTAAGTTAAGCTAGAGAGTATACCAAGTATCACATACCTAAATGTCACGTAAGTATTATATATAAATTTGTGATCAAGAACTCGTCATACATTGAGAAAGCGTTTCGTGTCAAACATAATATTTGGCAAAGTAACGATTAAGATTTAAACCATCTGGATCCGTAGTATTGGTCGTTCTTTTTCTTGTAAATTATTTTACTTATAAATAACAATCTACGCATATAATTAAGTATATTTTTTACTAAAATGTATGTTTATATAATTAAAGTAATTATTTTAAAGTATAAATTTGCAATTAATTTTGCAATCCTTTTCTGATAAGATCATCTTCCAAGAGGCACACGGTATATAGTGTCTCACCCCAAGTATATATGCGCAGCGAGACCGCACCGTGTATCTTTACGGCCTTGACGCGATTTTAATTTACAACAATCTTTATATTAGTTATTATAATTTTTTATTCATAAATAAGTTCTATTGTACATAATTACTGACAATAAAAAATGTTCTTTCTAAGAAACTGGTATTACCCACGGTATGTAATTATTTTATCTGCTGGAAGTAACTTGATTTCAGATGCATATAATCAATTTAGATAAAAGATGTGGAATAAATGATTAACTATTTATTAATTAATAATTATTTATTAATCATAGTACATCTGATAATACAAGTATCTGATGATACAAGAACTAGTGCTACAAAAATTCTATCTTTTAGTTTTTTTATTATATAACTGCATATATGTTTACGCAATTGTTATAGATCATTATATCTTTTGTGCGTAAACTACTAATACTTTATATAAATCTAATGTAAGTTCCTGATTATTATATATTGATTTATAGTTAATTTTTCTTTTTAGAAATTCACATGTAAGTGTATTCTTGAACTCTTCCATCAGATCTTGTGGCATGTCTTCAAGAAATGTTAAGATGGATATTAACGAGTCTGTTCAAAAAATATACGCATGATTATCAAATTAACGTATATATAATTTATAATAATATTAATGTTACATTAGAATTTTAATAAATAAAATAGCAAAAAGAAAATTCTTCAAAGTATTAATAATCTTATAATGTAAAATTATTACTTCTTGCATATTTTTATAGTCCAGTCGGCACGTCGTTAAAAATGACAAATAAATCAACTAATTAGGACAAAGCTGCAAAAAATTTTAATCTCTTTATTTGGGTGTCAGTAATGACATACTAAGTTTTCGACTTTCCCCGTGGTGTTTCGGCCGCCATCTTGAAAGAAAGGGGTAAAAAATCTGTTTTTCACGAATATCTTGGTTTCCATTAGACTTAGGCTAAAATAGTTGTATGCAATATTGTAGGGAATTAAATTCTCTACAAAAAAGGTAGTATAGGTTTTTTCTTATGACCAATAGTTTTGGCGCTAGAGCCGGGAAAAGTAGGATACTTTTTGTAACAAACGGTTTCAGCGACTTTATCTTGCCGTATCTCACTTCTCAGAGGCTGTAGTATACTTTTGAACTCGTTTCCTCACCACCTTGCGGTAGAGTTAGTGGCGCGTTTTTTTTTATGTGGTGTCCGCCTAATCCACTCAGTTTATTATTAAGATTGTGTGTGAGTGAAAGGAGATGTAAAAATCGATTGTCACAATGCTTACAAAATAGGAATGTCTTCAATGTTACAAATCATTGGCAATAATTTTAGTGATATTAAATTTTAAAGAAAAAATCGAGTTATTCCTCTCCGAGCAGCAAATTCATTGATAAAAATTGAAGACGAAATCGTTCCAATTGATCCAACCATACTTTTTCAAAGAATTTTGTTGGCTAAAAAATCTGATCAACATTTACAACAATATTTGCGGTACGAACTGGCTCCTTTTCCTCTTTCACTTTTCAATGAATTAGGGATGCGAAAGACAAAGAAATCGAGTTTGTACGAAACATTTTCTCCTGTGACTGATGTCATTAATTTCGAAAATTTCGTGCACATTATAGACGGTGGATATCTTCTTCATCAAATTGTATGGCGTCAACAAGAAACTTTCGCACAAATATTGGATAAATATGTTGATTATGTAAAGAAATATTACAAATCAAATAGTTTCGTCATTTTTGATGGATATCCGGATGAAACATGCATTCAAAGCACAAAAAGTGCTGAACGTCTCCGACGATCGAACAAACATGTTTCTGCGAGCGTACTTTTCAATGAATTTATGATAGTTACTATGCCCCAAGAAAAATTTCTATCGAATAAAAAAAATAAAAATAGACATCTCAATGTTGGGTAAAAAACTTCAAACTGCAGGATTTATTATCAAGCAAGCTATTGAAGATGCTGACACTCTTATTGTCAATACTGCGATTGATGCATCGAAGAATTACGATTCCGTCGTAATAGTTGGCGAAGATATTGATCTTTTAGTGTTACTGACAACCTTAGCATCATCTAAATCTAACATCTATATCATGAAACCGAGCAAGGGAAAAACAGAGCAGATTTATTCATCTATTTTTTTCCAATATCCTGATATTGCTGAGCATATTCTGTTTCTTCACGCATTCACTGGTTGTGATACCACTTCAGGCAGGATAAAATAAAATTTATTAAACTGTTCCAAAAAGATAAAAATTTGCAGAATATTTCAAAAATTTTTGAACATTCGGATGCTCAGCCAGATTTCATTGACATAGCAAGACAAAAATGTATTCTCGCTTTATACGGAGCAAAAAGCAATAGTTTTCTGGATAAATTTCAATTTTTATGCTTCGCCAAATCTACGTCGAAAGTAATGTTCAACATTGCTTCTATACCACCTACTGAAGCAGCTGTATGTCAACACTTCCTCAGAGTCTATCATCAGATTTAGCAATGGCGCGGAGTTTAAAAAAATCCTCTAAATTGGGGCTAGAAATATACAAGAAATGGTTTATTTCCAGTTCCTTCAATGAAACCGCTCCACAGGATATTCTGAAGAAGATTTTCTGCAAATGCACAAAAGGCTGCAAAGCGAATTGCTGTTGCAGAAAAGCTGGATGGCGATGCTCTGTGACTTGTTTCAACTGTCGAATTCAAGCATGCACAA